GGCAGCTGTGGCGCAGATACTTGGTTGGCGTAAAAGAATCAAACAAGGTTGTCATGAAGTCTCGGTGCAACAGGAAGAGCCTGTGGTCGCTAAGAAGAACCTGGTGTGCATTGCGGTTACACCTGGGTGGAGCTAGACACATGAGGATGCCTGGAAAGATCATGAGCGTCATCATTGCCCAGGTGTGGGGACTATGGAGGTCAGGGAGGAGTTTTCCTCTTACTTTTAAATTTCTAGTGATTTTAAATACAAGTTTTCTAATTGAAAATGAAAGAAACTTAATTTTGTTTTCTTGGCAAGTGGTAATACCTGAGTTTTAGCGAGGTGGACTTTTTAGCACAATTGGAAACCAAGCGTGGCTGACAGGTAGTGTTAGAAGGGGCAGCCTTTCAAAGAACAATCTCCAGGAATCTGGGAGCACCTCTTTCAAAAAGGGTATAAGCTATCCCTGTTCGCTGGAAGCTTGTCCCATCTGGTTAATAGCCACCTTTTCAAAATGACCAATCTGAATTGGCCAGGGGAACGACTTTTTTCAATACACTGTTTTAGTTAAAATTCATATTGCCAAAGATAAATTATGGCCCCAAAGCTGAAACATCTCCCCTTTACTGTTTTGACTGCTAAACATTTCTGGTCAGTATTATATTCCACCTTCTCTAGTTATCTTTGTAAAACAAAAACAGAAGTTGACCATATTTGAACATCTCCAGATTTTCATTTCAGTACGCAGAAGCAGGTGCAGGTTAAGTGCCTGTCAGGAGTGTGCAACCGAATGTAGAGGCCACTCCATCCTGTTACACCGAGTGTTCTTCACACAGACTTGCTGTGATTGCAAGGCTGCTCGAAAAGCTCAATTAAAAACAACCTCCAAATAATGGAAAAAGGAGTCTTCAAATAAGAAGCATTTTCTTTGTTAAGGGTTAGTTCATCACAGTTGTCAACAGTAACACCACTACCGCCTGGTCACATGCAAACCCACGCTCACTACCCACCCTGGAGTCAATGTCGACTCATAGCCACCCTGCCTTTCTCCTGAGGCGCACTGGTGGTTTCAAACCGCTGACCTGCTGGTTAGGAGCCCACCACATAACCAGTGCATCACCAGGGCTGGGAACCTGGGGCTGGGACCTCATGGTCGGTCTCCCTCAGAGCCCAGGCTTCTCCCTTCGCTTTCCCAGGCTTGGGACATACCTATTTTCCAAGCAGAATTTTGCAATCAAGAAAAATAATTTGAACTAATTGAAATATTAAGCTTTGTATTTTGTGCCAAATTATATAAATTCAAGGGGGTTTGAAAATGCTTTGCTTCCTTGGCTTACCCCTTACTTACGAAAATGGCTGCTGTTCTTGGAAGTTCCCAGGACACAGGTTGGCTACTGCTGAGGAACTGGTTTGACCCCTCCCCCTCCTCGTCTGAGATGCGTCTGGAGGTAGCTGAGGCCAATAAAGACTTTTAGCGCAGACTTTTCTCACTGTTTCCATCCACGCTGAGAGCCAGATATCTCTGGTGAAAATTTACCACGTGACATAAATCACCCGTGCTTATTGAAACATTCATTTCCAGGAAGAGGTTAATTAACTTGTTGCCTTTTAATATATAGGTGTTGGAGAGGGTGAGATGATCCAAGCGTGGGTTCTGCGTATTAGCTGTTACTGCCCTGTAAGCATCCCCAGGGCCCGCCAGCACTGCCTTCCCCAGCTGCTCCACTCTCGCCCAGAACCACAATCTCTTCCACCCGCAGGACCACAAGCAGGCCCTACAGTGCCAAAGCAACACCCTAAAAAGCACGTGGACCATGTCCTCCACTCTCCTGCTTTAAACTTACCAGTGGCCCCAGCAGCTGGTGATTCTAGGAGTGCCAACCTTGTGAGCTCTGCCCCCACCAAAGCCTGCTCTGCTCAAGCACCCATTGAGGCAGTGTTGTCATCTGACTCTGTCAGCCTACCATCTACCCTGCCCTTCTCCTCCTCACCTGCATCCTGTCCCCATACCCGGCAGCCGCCTCCTGCCTCGGCATCCCCACTGCAGTGCCCTGCACTTCCTCTTCTCACCGAGCACACCGAGTCCTTCTGTCCATTTCTCTTTCCCATGTTCTAGCTTCTTCTCTTGTAGGACCTAGTCTGAGGGACACTACTCCTCTGGCCCCACAGTAAAACACAGAATCCCGGGAGGGGTGGGGGTGGGGTCTTCAGAATGAACACTTTCTCTCGGAGTTGGCCCCTTGTCTTGGGGCTCCGGTGTGGATGGAGACGTGACTGCCGGTCTTAGCACCTGAGCGCAAACTAGAGCTTTCCCGTGGAGTCGGGCTAGCAGGAGGCACGCCGCTATGGTTGTCCCACTGAACCTTAACCTGGGTTATTAACAGCTTGTGACTGTTTGCAAAAGGGATGACTCATTGTAAGTCCAACTCAAGTACTAGGTAATGGTTCCTCGGTATTGTCTCTGCTTTGTGGCATCAGTGCTCCCACTGGCAAGGACAAATAAATCAGATGTAAGAGGGCTGGGGGACCCTAGGCTTCTTCATTATTTTTATCCATTTCCCCAGGTGTGCTCTGGAATGAGCTCTGCAGACTAGCAAGGGCCACATGCAGCCTGAGAGCTGGGCTGTGTCCAAGCTTTTGGCCAGACAGGTCATCAGAGTCCTTCCCTAATCTGGGACATGGCTGCCAGCCTATCTGAACAAGCACGAGAACCATGGCTAAGTAAAACAAGGGGCTCTGGGACTCCTGACCCTGATTCTATACAAAACTTCCCGGTCCAACACCGGCTCTCTGGTGGCTCTGGGCCCCCAGGACCTTCTAATAAATGCCTTTTTCTTCTTAGACGAAAGTTGGTTCTCATAGATGACAACCCAAGGAGGTTTGCCCACGAGGGACATTCATCTGGCACTCAATAAATGTCCCTGTCCACTCAGGAGCAGCTGGTGACATCTCTCACAGAGAGGCTGTCTGCAAACAGTCGTGGAAACCACGCTTTTTAGCTGGCTTCCACAAACCTCGGGGCTATAACATTACAATTCAGCAGATCTTCTCTATTAGGCTTCTCGTCCACTGTCCTTTTAATTGAAACACCAGCTGGTCATCGTTATTAATTAATAATATATCACCCACATTACTGTAAGTTCACCTCTTTCCCGGAGAAATCTTCGTGGGGACTTTATTTACAGTAGCTAATCCTTCAGATCTCCAAAAATAAACTGATATATGTTATACATTTGGGGCCAGAAAACTGGTGCCATTGCTATTTTATCCTGGAAACATCATTATGATATAGTAATTGTGACTATAAATTGCATATTGAAAAAAATGAGCTAATAATTTCTGAAAAGCCTTGCTTTCAATCACTTAACAAATGTAGCCTGATTCTAAATTGTGGTACTGAAGTGCTAGAACTTTTAAGTGGAAGCTAATCATGATGTTAATGTATAAGTCACCGGTTTCTGATCAGGAAGTGACTCTCACATGTACAGATGCACTACATTTAGGTACCCCCATGGAGATGCATCTGCATCTCTTCATCTTCACAGCATCCTGGGAATATCCCCATGTAACCCAGGATGTCCCTGAGCGCAAGAACAATGCAGCACTACCTTTGTTGGCCACGCTAAGTGACCAAGCAGAGTCATCGATGGAGGGCACGGGGCTGTGAAGGACAAACAGAGACACCCCCTCCAGGAGGCCTTACTGCTGACACCTGGCCACAGCAGACAGATACCCGGGCCCAGGGCTAGAAAGGACCAGAAGGTCTTAGGGAGACCTGTAGACCTTAAGCTTCAGGCTTTACTGCTTCTTTTGATTAGTGACCTCAAGGACTGTCTACACCACCTGCTCCTACTCGTCACTGGCAAAAAAAAACCCAAATGAGCATGTGCGGCCTGAACAACTAAGACATTACTGAAAATGCTGCCTGTGCTCTTGGCGGGGTCAAGTCTGTGCACAGCATACGCGGCATGCACTGTGCACAGGCCGGGAACCTCGGGAGGGAAACCTGAGTGCTGACAGCACCCGCGGGGGTGCATTAACCGGGGGCTCCCCGAGGGATGGCCTATGGCTCGCCGGCAGAGCAGTATGACCAGAAGACGAGAACGCCATGGCATGCCAGAGCTCCTGCAAAACTGGACCTGGGCCAGGTGCCTTCAAACACCCCACCACCTTCTGTATTTTCACTGTCCACGCTGGGCTGTGTGCAGTATACTAGGCCGTGGAAGTGCAGCTATGAATACTTGTCCAGGGAGGTGGCAGTTGAGCCAAGTCACCTAGTGTGGGCAAGTGTTTTGCAGACGGATCGGTGGGAGGGGCTTCATGGGGTGGGATCAAACCTGTCAAAGACTGGCTTGGGTCTCCCGGTGAGCTGGGCGAGCTGGGCCAGGAAGTAGGCCCAGAAATGCCAGTGCCGTTTGCAGGTGATAGGAAAGGGGTGTCAAAGAATTTGGCCCTCAGACAGAGTAGTGAATACTGGCTCTCCACGCCCGTGGCTAGTGCAGCAACACCTCAGCCCCACTCCCACCTGAGCTCTTGCAGGGTTGAAATGATCCTCTTTCCTGGACGTGATAAAATGACCAGCGTCACGGGGAGGTGTGCAGGCAGGGTCAACAGGAGTAGTGCTAGGGGAGAAGTCTCCCTAATATGATAGCATTGCTATTGGCCAGCCTCCTTCCTGCTGCTCAGTAATGTGGTTTCTAGAGTAATCATTTGGTATTGATGGGACTTCTGCCCTAAAAATACCACTGTCTCTTATTATTGTCTAGCAGTAGTTCTGTAAAGCCTTCCTGGTGCGCAGTCCCCTGAACACTGGAGGGTAGAGTGAAACTAACTCGCGATTTGATCGTTCTGTTTTGTCTTGTGTGCTGTGGCTATCCATTCTCTACCCAACCTGAGAGGAGGAACCCCGCCCTTCTGGTGCTGCGCAGTGTCTATGTGCTCTCACTTGGAGGATCATGGGGGTCTTCCCCATAGGTACCTGGCCAGACCCTCCTCACCCTCGCCTTCTCTCTTTGCAGGTCACGCAATATTTAAGCTCACGTATCTAAGCAATCATGACTATAAACACCTCTACTTTGAATCTGATGCCGCTACCGTCAGTGAGATTGTACTCAAGGTAAGTGGGCCAGTTCTGCCGGGGTGCTTCTGCCTGCGCCTGTGTTTGCAGAGAAGGAGCAGCAGGAGTTCCTGTCTGCCCAGCTAGTGAGCCCAGCCCTGCGCCACCCTGGCTTTCTGTGTCCAGCCTGGTGCCCTTTCAGAGCAGCTGCTCTGCACCCCACTCAGCCATAGTGGGACCCCTTGGGCTTCCTCCTAGCCCCCCACCCCCACCCCCGGCAATCCTGGTTCTTCGTGTGCTTTATATTCCTCTTAAGCTCCATTTATTTTCTTGCAACCATTGACAGAGGCTCCTTAAGGTTTCTGGAACAGACTCCAAAGAAATTATTAGTATTGTTTTGAATGTGCCTTGCTGTATTTAGGTGGTTTTAATAGCCGGGGTAAGCATACCCAGCTGCCGGCGTCAGTTGTAGATCAGCGTGTGTCGGTCTGTGTGCCTGGCTCCAGCAGAGACCCATACAGGCCCAGTCCCTGCCCTCAGAGAGTGTGTCCTCTGACTCGGGATTTGCATCGAGCTCAGAGGTGTGTGGGGACTGTAAGTGTGTGGGACCTGACTCGGATGGGGCATGGGGAGCAGGGAGAGGTGAATCCAGAAAAGGCACAGATACCAGGTCTGCAGAGAAGAGCATTTCCATCTTGAAGGGGCTGGGAGGCTGTACCCACCTGTGTGGCTGAAGCAGTGAATGGCAGTGAGGCTGGAGGAACCTGGCCCACAGAGCCATGCAGGCGAGGGTTGGCCTGGGCCAGTGTTCCTGAGGGTAGGGGTTCCGGAGGTCTAGGGTAGGAGCCCAGGGCATGGCATGTGTTCTGATCTGGGCCCCACACCCCAAGGACCTGACCTGGCCTCATCCTTCTCAGACTGTTGCCTACTGAGATTCCTTCGAGCCTCATTGTAAGCTAGGTCGATCAGATCGGAAAAGCTGAGGGTGCTTTGGCAGGACAAGACTTTAAACAGGGAGGACACCGCCCCCCACCCTGCCATAAATGGGTAACTCTCACTATTCCATCACACCTCAGTTTTCCCCCTGGTACATTGAGGATCATGGACACACACACACACACACACACACACACCACCCCCACCCCTAAGAGCTGCTGGAGCACCAATCCAATGAGATTGGGTAAACTTGCCGGGGGTCCCGGTCCTGTTTAGGACATTTCCAGGGGCACTCAAGAAGCACTGAGGGATGGCAAAGTACAGGACCTGGGGTGAGTGTGCCACCTAACACATTCCATCGACCTTCACCGCTCTGTGAGGCAGGTGACGGACAATACAGCTGGTCCTCAACACGGGGTCAAGGGGTGAAAACCTACAGTTGACCTTTGGGCTGCAAGGGCCCCACCCACTTACATGTGCGAGCTCTCTGCTAGAGCAGCAGCACAGAAAGTGGGCCCCAGTTCCCACCCCTGCAGTTCATGGGTCAGCTGGGTTCCTGTTTCCCAGATGGAAGCTGAGACCCAGATCCAAGACCTGCCTTGGCCCGGATCAAGACTCTCGTAGCAGCAGAAGCAGAACGTGTGCTGCTAACTCCCAAGGTGTGCATGGGAGAGTTCGCCAAGCCGGACTCCGCCTCAAAAGGCTACAAAAGAGTTTTTGGTCTGTGACCCTTAAAAGGACAAGGCTGCTGGGCAGGCGGTTTGGAGCTGAGACGGGGGTACTGGGTTCATAGACCACCCTGAAACAAAACCCCCACCAGCCGGGGGGCAGGGAGAGTGCCCGCTCGAGCTGCTGGAACCAGCGAGCCAAGAGTCATAGATTGTCACAAGGCAGCCGAAGGAACTTGTGCAAAGCACTCAGGGACTAGGTAAAGAAATATTCCATTCCCCTGTCAGGGACTCAGGTTTTTTATTTTATTTTATTTTTTTTATAGCCAGTATTAAAATATTCAAGACTTCAGAAGGATTCTAGTAAAATTATAATCCTGTGTTTGACATCAAAATAATTTTCACAACAGTAGATTGATGACAGAAACACAGGTTTATGACTTCAATATGAGACTCCGGAAGATCAAGTGCAGAGAAATCATTCCACAGGCCAAATGTGCCCCCCGAGCAGCTGCTGTTCTGCAAGGTCCCTGAGGCCTATCGCCTCCCCCCAAATGTTGGTTTTTATATCAAAATGTTTGTAGAAAAAGCACCTTGTGCAAAAGATGCCTGGAGAGTTGGAGGGTGCCCAGGCCTGATTCACTTAACAAGCTAATGAGCATAATCCTGTCAGAAGATTAAATTTCGCTTCTATGTCTGGTTTTTATAGCAATTTAAATGCTCAGCTTCATTCACCATCCCCGTGCCGGGACAGTGTCATTGCGCCAACCCTGAGTGACTGAGCAGGGCAGCCAGTTCACTGAGGCACCAGCCATGTGTCAGTGAATTTGACAGAGATATTTAGTGTTTCCATCGGAGGCGGTTCACGGGTCAGGGTGTGATTGCTCTAGAGCTGGAGCGTTGGGCACGCCTCGAGAGCTCTAGCCGCAAACCAAAGGGCGAAAACAAGGCCAGAGCCTGGTGCCAAGAAACGCTTATGGACAGGCACCTGTCCATCCGATTGTTTAATCTCACTGTGTTTTCCCTGTAGAAATGGTCATGTCTCGTTTATTGATCACTGACTATGTGCACAGCATTTTATGTTCCCTGTCACTGGCTCAGAGCCGTAGTGGCATAGTGGTTACCCCTGGAGCTGCTAAGCACAAGGTCAGCCGTTCAAAACTACCAAGAGAGAGAGACTCCCTAAAGAGTTGCCGTCTCGGAGACCCACAGGGGCAGTTCTGCCCTGTCCTGCAGGGTCACTATGAGTCAGAATGGACTCGATGACAGTGAGTTGGTTTTATGTTCGCTTTAGTCCATTTGCTCGTCACCGCCTGCTGGCAGAGTGTTGGCATCATAAGCCCAACTTTATAGACGGGAGGCACCCTGGTGGCCAAGTTGGGCTGCTAGCTGCAAAGTCAGCAGTTTGAAACCAGCAGTTTGAAATCCTTGGGAGAAAGATGAGGCTTTCTCCCAACCTGCTCGCATAGAGAGTTACAATCTTGGAAAATCAACAGGGGCAATTCGGCCCTGTCCCATAGGGTTGCGATGAGTTGGCATCGACTCACTGGCAGTGAGTTGGATTTTTTAGTAGATGAGAGGTGGGACATGGGACTGACTGCAGAGCTGATGGGAGTAGAGCCTCGATTTGAACCCAGCCCCTCAGGAGTCCCAGAGCCCCTCCTCTTCCACCCTTGTCAGCTCTGTGCGGTCCCTAATTCTGCAGGCTTTTGAGAGGAATCTCAGAGGAATCATTGGGCGCTTCCAAACAGTTCTTCTCATGATCGAGTGATGGAGACTGTGGCTTTATTGACCATGAAAACTCCCTATATTTTTATGCCTTAAGCTGTAAAATGCATTGAAAGCGAAACACTCTATAGTGCATAAAATTGTGCAAGTTTTAAGCCACAGCATATTAACCAGCTAATGGCAGACCAAAGGGCGTTTTTATCTTTTGATTATTACATTAATCTTCCATTAAAATTATCTATGTGATTATCATGAAGCACTGAAGGTAATAAATTTAGGAAGTCGTTGGCTTGTTAAGGATCATTTTTAAATGCTTTTTTCAAGTTCTGTGTGCCAAAAACACACTGGAAACACTAGGTTGGATGAGTGTGCAAACAATATAACCCAACGATTGCTTTTATTAAAAATGATAAAGCCTCTTATCTTCATACACTGTAGTGTCCCGAGTCGCTAGCCCAGCCCACGGGCCTGGTGATTTATTGCTCTCAGCTGGTAACTTGGCGAGGCAGTGGCCGAGCGTGTCAGGCCTTCTGTACACATCCCCAGCCTCGAGGCTGCTGCTGGTGCCTATCAGAGCGGAAAGTGTGTCCGGGGCACAGCGTCGGAGCCTTGTCCCCACATGCGGCCAGCCATCTTGGGCTGCCACCTCCGAGAGCCCTCTGGCTCTCAGGCAATAGAGGCCTCTCCTGCTCCAGGTCAAGGATATGCAGCCCCTTAAACCAGAACCAAACAAGTCCGTTCCTAGGCATCGCTTTCTGATACTGGTGAAGGAAAATGGTATTTGTTCAGAATAAAAACAACTAGAGAATGTCTAGGGGGCAGGGGGTGGGCTTGAGAGGGGCTAAGAGGAATGACTGTGGCTCTGAAGAGGCCTAGGTGGGCCTGGGGAAGCCTGGAGAACTGAGAGGCTTTAACCGTGAAGGGCCTGACCATCTGGTCCAGATCTTTCTAATAGTAATTTTGTGACCTTGCCCAGGTCAGTCCTCCAAACCTCCCTTTCCTTTTTTGTCAAGTGGTCCCTGGAAGCGTTATAAGCGAAGAGCAGAGTTGGCTGGTGGCTGCAGGTGCTGAGCCTGTTTGGGGTTTGGGTTTTACCCTGTGACTTTCTCTTCATTCAAACTGGAAAGTGAGGCTGGGGAAGGCTGCCCAGCAGGCTAGGGGCAGATTGCCTGAGAGGCAGTCTAGGCTGCAGGGGGACTGCAGGTTTAGCAACCATCTCCATCCCTTCCTGAGCAGAAGGCCATGGACAGGCCCCCCCCTCACAGAGCCAGAGCGCTGGTCCTGCCAGGTGGCCGTGATGACTGGCCTCCATCCACAAGAACGCCTGGGCTTAGGCCCCAGCCTGGCTCCAGTCCGCCTCGTTTACCCCTCTCTGCCTGCGGGCTCGCTGGCAAGTGACTGGCTGTGTCCTCTTGCTTTCCAGGTTAACTACATCCTGGAATCGCGAGCAAGCACTGCCCGGGCTGACTATTTTGCTCAAAAACAAAGAAAATTGAACAGACGTACAAGCTTCAGCTTCCAGAAGGAGAAGAAATTGGGGCAGCAATGACGCTGGCATCCAGCCTCAGCCTCAGCCTCAATCTCTCTCCGTAGTTCAGAGCCTGCCTGTTCACCCAGGGCAGGGGGGCCCTAGAGCTCACCCTAGGCCCTGCAGCCTTGGGAGGGACGCCACTTCTGGCTCACAGGCTGGTTGGTGGGTGCTTGGGGCAGATTTGGGGAGGGGCACTTCCTAGGATGGAGCTGGGGACATTTCCACAGGACTGAAGTCTGAGTAGCCAATAGCTTTGATTAGCAGTGCCCAGGGGCCAGGCACCACCACGAGGGGCCACATGCTGCCCCTTCGTCTTCACTGCCTGGTGACCCTGCCCAAGAATGTACATAGTCAGGCCCAGGCATTTCCTTGCCACGTGATCAAATTTCTGAAGTGGAGAACAAAAATGTACCTTTCTGTCTATTTTCCTTTTAATAAACAGGTGTGCTCGATCGTGGTTGGTATGGTGGCCCGTTCTTTGGGGTGGAGAATTGATTATGTTCTTCTCTTTCAAATCTGTGCCCATATTGAACAGGGAGATTGGGAAAGCTAAGGCTCGATTTCTCAGAAGAACTGTTTAGGGCTTAGTCAATAGTTGTAACTATGCCATTTGTTTAAGTGAGTGCGTGGCTCTGAGGATAGTCTCTTACTAAAAGTTACTAAAGGGACCCTAGTGTTGTGTGCCTCAAGCTGTGTCGTTTTCCCCTTGAAAAAGCTTTATCTCCGCAATGTGCTCCAGCCCCTCCGAGTTCAGAGACACCCAGGAAGCGCGTGCTGGGAGGAGGGAGGCGGGGGTCGATGGGCAAGACTTAAGGTCACTCTGAGCTCCCAGCCAGAAGTGGCCTTTTCCATCGAATAATCAAGCGTGCGTTCCAGCTGATGGGTAGACCTGCATGGGGCTTGTTCCTGGAGCTGAGACTGGCTTTGCCTGGCTGCCTTTGAAAGGACCTCGGTCTCCCGCCTCCTCTCCACCCAGCACCTGCCTTCCCTGCTGGGGCAAGGCGCAAGCTGCTGATTTCCACTCGTCCTGGGAGCGGGAAGGCAGGCGCGGAGGGAAACTGATAGATCCCCGTCAGGCAGCTGCACCGCCTTCTCACCAGATGCCTCCGCAGCCAGCCTCTTCGGTGCCCACCGCTCGTGACGCCCCTCACCCTGCCCTCGGCCAGGGCTAGGACCTCTGTTACTCCGAGGACCGGCATTGACAACAACTTTTTGACATTGTTAACCCAGGAAGAGATGTGACTAACACTGGCATCTCGCACGAGGTCCGTTTCACGAATTCCTCTCGTTCGTGCTGATCTCTGCGCAGCCGCCGAAAGCATCCTTTTCTAATGTCTTCCATTCCGACCCACCCTGGGGCCAAAAGAAATAGTATTTGTAGCTTGCTATCTGTATTTGAATTTTTAGCAATTTTATATTTAGATATCTTTGGAAAATGTACATGACTAATTTGGTCATTGAATCTTGTGACATATTCAATACTAAGATGATATTCAAATAAAACTCGAATGTATACCCTCTTGCGCAAATTGTCATGAATTCTCTAAGTCTTGAGCCCAGCAGGGCTGGGTGCTGGGTGGGTGACGAGGGCAGAGGCGGGCTGGTGGGCTGGCTGCTGAGGTGGTAGCCAGTGTCTACGCAAGGCCCCAGGGCTTCCTTCAGCACTGAACCAGCCAGGGTGACCCCTTTACTCCGGTTCAGCTTGCACGCCTTGTATGTAAAATGTGCACATGTGCCTGGCGTCGGGAGAGATCAAAGGGGACACTGCAGCCACTGCCTGGATCAGCCCAACATCAACAGGGTTGACGGATAGCATCTCCTCAGCCTCTTTCACACCCCACATCGCACTGTCAAGGTAAGACGTGGTGGATTTCTCTCTCTCTCTCTCTCTTTTTCTCTCTCTCTCATCTCCCCAGCACCAGGCACAGTGCAGGTGCTCAGCCACTGCTTGTGACCTGGTGACTTTCAGGCCTGAGGAATGACTGATGGCCGCAGGAGCTCTTCCCTCCACATTGGCTGCTGCGTGGCTGTGAGCTGGGCCCTGGGCCCCCACCCCAGGCCTCAGTTTCCTGATTTGTACGTGAATGTGCTAGCTGAGGTGACCTCTGTCATGTATGTCTGCTTTAAATTCCCCGCTGGCTGTGATCAACAAGCAGCTTGATCCCTGAGCCCCAGTTTCATCCTCTATAAAACGGGGACAGTAATACCTACTTGAATACCTACTTGAAAGGGTGCTCTGAGGATTGGAGGAGTTTATGGTGGGGATGGGCCAGGGGACGCTGCGGTAACAAGTGTTTCTTTCCCTCAAACTTACCCGTGGGTCCAGGTGACTCGGAGGCAGCGGAGCTTCTCCTAGCAGCAACAGAATGCTGTGGTTTGAAAGTGCCCTTTGTCACTTCTCACTAAGGTTCATTTCATTGACCAGAACCAGTTGTCACAGCTGCCGTGAAACACCCTAATGCCAGCAGGAGACGCATCAAACTCCGCCATGGGTGGGCCTTGCCAAGGCAGTGCCTGGCCTGGGAGTTGATTCCTTTAAACTCACTCGGGCAAGCAGTGCCCGCTGCTAAAGCCTCATCCGACAAGACGGCCGCAAGGTGAGTGATTGGAAACCACCCAAGAAAGACGAAGAGTTCGCAGAGTGACAGTCTCAGAAACCCACAGGGGCAGTTCTGCCTTGCCCTATAGGGCCACTGTGAGTTGGAAGGACCTGCTGGCAGTAAGCTTGCATTTGAAACAAGATAGCCAGGAAGTCACTGGCCCAGTACAGAACTAGTCAAATTTAAATCAGGACGGGGCTCCAAGCTAACACTTGTCACTCTTTCATCAGTACCTGCCTCCCGGCTCAGTCTGGCTACTTGTGGTCCTGAGCAGAAAGGGCCAGGCTTACTAAGTGCACAACTTGTGTGAGTCACTGTTGTGTCTCTTCTCACGCTGTCACCTAGTCCCCAGCTTATGGATAATGGAAACTGAAGGCCAAAAGTGAACTCCCTCACCCCACGCTGCGCCATCCAGGCTGTGGCTGACTCAGCCCCCCTCCGTCCCCCACCCCATCCCTCCCTCCCTTTGGCTTCCACAATATAACAGCCCAGATTCTGAACGCCCCGCTGAACCCACACTACTACGGGGAGTAGTGGAGGAGAGGGACAGGGTTAAACCTGTCACATTGAGTTCCCACCAAACACCTCTGCTTAAATGCGCAATCCCAACAGGGCGGGGTTCGCGCTCCAATTCCTGGGCGTGATTTGTGAACCCTGGAAGCCCGGTAATCTCCTCTGCAGAATGGGATTATATTTCAGATCACCGCGGCCTGTTCATTACCCGTTCAAACTCCTCTGACAGAGGAAAACTTCCATAAAACACACTCGGCAGCCCTCGCTGACTGCTCCGCTCTGCCTCCTGATTAGACAAACAGATGCTGAGGTCTGGAATGGAAAAATAATGTGTCCGTTTAGTCATTTTCTGACAAGTCACAATAGATTTTTAACTGCCAATGAGTGACCTCCCGGAGGGGCGGCGGCCAAGAGGTGCCCACCAGGCCATAAGTGGTCATTTCTGCCTGCGCCAGCCCCCCTGCCCTCGCCCCAGGGGTTCTCATGGGACCAGAGCGGCTGCCAGTGTGAGCCACACTCTGCACTGGCGACATGGCCGAGGCCTGGGCTGAGCTGCTTCAGGGCCTCTCAGCAGCCATTATCCAGAGGGATCCTCTCAGAGAGGCTGGCAGGGCCACCAAGACACAGCGAGGACCTGGGTTGTAAATCCCTGGACCAGCATCCCTGCCTTGTGGCTTTCCGGCAGGTGACTGAGGACACCTACCTCCCACCTCAGAGCTAGTGAGCCGCCCTTGGGGGTCGTGAGGCTCAGTGGCAGCCCCTGCAGGCTCTCTGGGACAGCTGTTCCTTTACCAGCCTGGGCCCTGAGGGAAAGGATAGCGCCCCTTCACCCAGCTTTACCCTTTGGCTGGGCCACAGGCTGGTGTGGATGGGGCCTCACAGCCCCTCTGCTCGCCACTCATTGAGACGTCCCCGACGGAGCACGGGTCAGCGGGGAAGGCGAGGAAGGGCTGCAGTGGGATCCAAGCCCCTCCTCCTCTTCAGACAACCCAGGACCCCCATGTCAAGCCAGGCAGCCTCCAGCTAGAGTCTACCCTGGAGCTGTGAGCAGAGGGCTAGCCTCCACTTTCATCTGCGCCCCCTTCCCAGGAACAGAGACTCTCACCTGCTCGCCCACCGTCCTGACAACCAAACCCCAGGTCCCCGGCAGAATGAACTCCAAGGTTTCCAGCTGGGAGTCACACAGGCCACACGCTGTGGAACTCAGACCCATCCAGCCCCCGGGGGCCGTGGCCCTTCCCGGAAATGATGCACTTCCTGAAGCCAGCTGGACAGCAGCCTGGGCCAGACCTTTGTCGCTGCTGTCTGTGCCCTGCTTGCTGTTCCCAGGCTGCCGCCACTCAGCTTTCTGGATCCAACCAGCTCTGTACTTCCCCAGGAAGCCATTGGGGCTTCTGGAGCCCCATACCTGCTCAGCCCCTCAGCCCCCACTGTCTGCTGGGAGCACCTGGGTACCGCTCCTGTCTTCTTTTTGAAGTAAATGGGAGGCTCTAGTGGTGCCACACCAGAGTGGTTTGTCCAGTGATGACTGGGGTGAGTGGGGTGGTTAGTCTTGAAGACGGGCTGCCCACATGGTGAAGGTAGACCTGGAGGAAAGGTGTGGCAAGCCCTGCTGGGTCTCCCTGCTCCTTCTCTGCCACCTTCAGTCCCCAGCCCCACCCGAGGGCTGCCCCAGACCTTGAGCTGCGCCGATGCACCATGCAGGGGGACCAGCAGGCCTTGTGTTTGACTCGACACCTGTACCTTTGCTGCCCCGGACCATACAAGGTCGCGCTTGGGGCACAGTGATGAGAGGCGCAGGCTCTGTAGCATCGGGAGGGTGGGGTGCCCCCTGGTTCCCATCAGAGATAGGACTGGCTTGTAGGACTATTTCCACAGGCTGTCAGGACACAGGCCCACTACTCAAGGATAAGAAGGTTGGTTTGGCTAGGGCACCTTCCCACCGTGACTTGACCAGCATATAGCATTGAGCCTCACCCACTTTTCCAGGGGAGCCTTACTACCCTCTGCTCTTCCACAATCCTGATGTCTGTCCCACCAAAGAAGCCACACCCCACACCCCTCCCCGGCTAGGAGCCTGTGGAGCTGCTGTTTCTTGAGCACGTCCTGGGGGGAGGCCATCGTGCTTCCCACAAATCATCTGTTGACATAAAATACGCTGTTACTTATTGAGCTCTGTGCCCAAGGGTTTACAGACATCCCTCATTTCATCCTCAGGCATCCACGAGACACCACCATCCCCACTCAGCTGGGAAACTGAGACTCAGAGAGTGTCAGTCACTTGTCCAAAGACACACAGTAAGAGGCAGAGAGAGGCCCCAAGGACAGACTTTCTACTGCTGGGCAGGAACCAGGTCTGACTCATCTGGGTGCCAGAGCCTTGCTCGGGGTCTGGTATGAGGTGGGGTGTCTGTGAGCAATTGCCATATAAGCTCCCACTTCAGTCCTCAGACGTTTCCTGAGCTCCTGGTCTGGGCTATTCCCATGCTAATCCTCAGGCTGATGGGAATGCAGACACCTGCCTCCCAGTACTGGCAGAGAGGGTCAGCTGTGCCTAAGGTGTCAGGAAGAGATGAAAGGCAGGATTGTAGTGGGGCCCTAGGGTCCTGGCTGGGGCTGGGACCCAGGGAAGGCCCGCTGCAGCCATAGGGCACCATCAAGGGAGGGGACAACCAGGTCGGCGAGTGCGCAAACCACCCTGAAGGCTGCTGACACGGGGCTGCTGTGTGACTCCAGATAGAGGGAACAACCTCTCTGAACCAAGCTGTTTTTCTCTCTTCTGCGGAAGAGAGACCAAACCCTACTTTGTCACTCAAAACTCACTGCCATCAAGTCGGTTCTGACTCAGTGACCCTATAGGACAGCGTAGGACTCCCCTTGTGGGTTTCCAGGGCTCTCTCTTTTTGAGACTAGAAAGCCTCGTCTTTCTCTTGAGCCGCTGGTGGTTTCAAACTGCTGACCTTACAGTTAGCAGCCAAACCCGTAACCACAATGCCACCAGGGCTCCTTCATAAAGAGTAAATATGACCATTTGCACCCTCCTGGCACACAGTAGGGGATCAGTACCAGGTGGCCATGACAAGTATCCCGAATCCTCTCTGAGGACACACTGGCTGAGGCCAGTCCTCTGCTCTCAGGGGACAGCCCCAGCCTCTGGTCTCAGGGACAGGCCCAGGGCTCCAGGTGGGGAGCACCAAGGCTTCCCACTGGCCAGCTCTGTCCTCCCACACATACTTAGTGGAGTAGCCCCAGTCAGAGTTCACATCTTTATGCGGGAACTCTATGAATACTTAAGAAATACTGCAAGTCTAGTCCTTTTCAAAATGATAAAAATTTGTCTATATTATAGCATTCTAGCCCCCAGCTCCCTGAAAGCTAAAAATATTTTAATGTCACATTTCCATGTAAA